GCCATGAACTCGTCGCCTTCGTTCCAGGTTTCTACCTTGTTGTCGAGTTTGGTGTTCTTTGGTGCTGATTCCAGCAGTGAGATGTGGAATGTTGACCATTGTCGTATGCCTTTAGGCAGTTCGAGTCTCTAGTTGCTGGTGCTGACTTTCTCAAGCACTTTGAATGGTCCCAGTTTCTTATAGTCGAGTTTGTCACTGTGTTGTTTTGTTTTGATATTACGACGGAGGACATTCACCTTCTCCCCAGCATAGGTAGGTACTAGAATAGCACCTTGGGGAAAAAAGAAAAGACAATTCAGATTTTATTCCTGCTCAGCAATACTTTCATTGTTCGTCGGCCGCGTCATCATCATCTTCGGACACGACCAAATCCGAGTCTGAATCTGAATCCGAGTACTCAGGCTCATTAGGATCATAATCCCAGTGCGAGGCCGGCAAGTATCTCACAAAAGCATCGGGATCCAAACTCGGGCGTTGTGGTTCTGGTTCCGGTTCTGGTTCTGGTTCCATACATGTATCATCATCCAACACATGCACGCCACTACCAGAACCAGAACCACTACCAGAACCAGAACCACTACCATTACCAGAACAACCCCCCTCGGCCTCCCTAAGAAGCATCTTCTTCCTCCACATCCTCCACTTAACCACCCACTCCTTCCATTCCTCCAAGGCCTCTACAGCCTCGGGTGTCTTCAAGGTACGGGACCGGGACGGCCTCTTATTTTCGGACGACCGTTGCAAAAAAGCACACAACAAATCATCCATTTCAAACCTCGGTCTCGACTTCCCATCGACATAAAAACAAATATCATCCAGGATGCTCTCATACAGCACCAAACCGAAACCTCGCGACAGCCAGGAGCCGCCAAAGTCTAGCAAAGCCCAGAGTGTGTTGAAAAGGTACAGGCCGTAGCGGTCGGCGTGGCCGAGGGTGTCCCGGCCCGCGTGGATGTGCATGCCTCGTACGGTTTGGAGGTCCGTTGGGCCTGTCCATTTGTATTGATCGAAATCGTCGTCGTTAGAGGTAGGCGGTCCGGGGAATAACTCCTCTTCTCCTTCGGCTCCGTATGGTAGGTCCCAGTTATGGGCGATCAAGAACCGTTGTTGTGCATTGCCACCATTTTCCTCATCGTCGTCTGATTCGTCTGATTCGTCCGTTTCCATTTCTGTTTGAGTCTCTGCCTTTTTGGATATGACGCTGATAATGAGATGTCGGAGTGAGTAGTATCTGCGAGGAGAGCAAGAAGAAGAAAGAAGGAGACTGCCGCGATTCTTTCTCTGATAAGCGGGATCGCAAAGACCCCGAGGTCCCAAGGCCAAAAAGGATACCAGCAGGCGGTAAAAGTTCCATGACCCCGGAGGGGGGTTGGGGTAGTACTTGTCGTATGCAGCATTAAAGTCGGATGATATACCGTGGTAACGGCGTAAGAACTCCTCCTCCCCCTGTCTTTCGTCGTCCATGTTCAAGTCCTCTACGTCCATTATGCGAAACGAGGCCTGGAGAGTGTCGAGGTGGAACTGGCTGGGGAGTGGACAACACACCCAGGTTGGGAAGAGGCCGCATTTGGGGATGAAGACGATGTCGATCTCATATTTGTAGGGGTGAGTAGCAGTAGATGAATGTGAATGTGAATGTGAATGTAGTAGATACTGAACGTCATCGCGTAGGATCCGGCATGTCAAGAGGAGTGGTAGAGCGGGTGGTTGAGGTGATGTGGCTGGTACCCAAATGTCCCAGTCATCGCGGAGCCGGATGCGAGGGGGATCTTGGTGAAAAAGGTCGAGGAGATTATAGAGAGGTGTTGTTGTTGTTGTTATTGTTGTTGTTGTTGTCGGTGTTGGTGTTGGTGCCCAAATCACAGAGGCTAGGATTTTGTGGCGGAGTTCAGCTGGGAGGGTGATTAACGACATGCCTTATTCTGGAGAGCCTCAGTCGTTGAAACAAGAAGACAAAGAAGGGGTGCCGCGGACCGTAGAGTTATACCGCAAATCAATGGAAGAGCGCGGTTATGTGGTGGGATTGTGGTCCAGAAAAGGTTGATTGGTCTGGTGTTGACAATGTTGGAGAAGTTGGAGAAAGGGCAAGCCGTCCACTTTATACCTAGGTACCTACGCATGCGCCTTCCATGCCAAGCATTTGTACATGTAAAATGACGTGCAGTGGCGGCCCAAGCCGTCTACGCCAAGTCCTGCCATTTTCCGTTGCAGTGCATGTAGGCAGGCACGTGGCCTGTTTGGACAAACGCCGCCGTGCGCGCCGTCAAGTGATTTTCGAAACGACATTACTAAAACTGTTCACGGTACATGCGAAACACAGAGAGAATTACCCGCAACCAAAACACAGCATTATATGACAAAAAGATTATGTTTACATTAACTATCTAAGGTATCCCATCATCTATTCTACATGTCCCCGTGGTCCAAGAACTATTCTAATGACTTGTTCATTCAGACTTCAGAGGACAGCCACGCAAACATAGGCATTCGCCCACATTCCAGTACAGTCGCTCTTGACCGCCGGGTTCCATTTGACAAAGTTGGCCTGGGTGATGCCGTACTTTGCAATGATGGTCTGGCAGGTCTGACCGGACGTCACAAAGTGGAAGGTCCTGCACGAGGTGGTCATGCCGCTCTGGATAGGGGTAGGCGTCTGGATGCCGTTGCCGGGCTTGACGGGCGTGGGCGTGTGTCCGACAATGGAGATACAAATGTTGTAGTCGACCCACAGGAGACTGCAGTCGGACTTGACGTAGGGGTTCCAGGTCGTCAGTTGCGCCACGGTGACGCCCTTGGCAGCCGCGATGGTGGCGCACGTGTCTCCAGACTTGACCTTGTAGAAGAGGTCGCAGTTCTTGACCATGTTCGGCTGAACAGGCGTCGGGGTGGCAATACCGTTTCCGACGCTAGTAGTGGTGGTGGTGGTGGTGGTGGTCGGCTTGGTCGGGGTGTGGCCGACGATGGAGACGCAGGCGTAGGCATTGGCCCAGAGTCCATTGCAGGTTGAGCCCACGCTCGGGTTCCAGCTGAGGAACTGAGCCTGTGTGATACCGTTCTTTGCCGCAATGGCCTCGCACGTGTCACCAGCAACGACAAAGTAGAAGGCGTCACAGTTGTTCACGATGGAGGCTTGAGTGGGCGTCGGGGTGGCAATGCCATTCCCGGTTGTGGTGGTGGTGGTGGTCGGCTTGGTCGGGGTGTGGCCGATGATGGACACGCAAGCATAGGCATTGGCCCAGAGTCCAGTGCAGGAGGCGCCAACACTGGGATTCCATTCTTTGAACTGGTCCTGGGAGATGCCGTATAGGGATGCAATCACCTCGCACGTCTGACCGGCCGTCACAAAGTGGAAGGCGTCACAGTTGTCGACGATGCTGGCCTGGGTGGGAGTGGGAGTGGTGATGCCATTTCCAGGTGCCGTGGTGGTCACTGGAGGAACAACGGTGGTAGAGGCAGATGAGGACGAAGTGGCGGTACTAGACATGGGGCTAGTCGCCGCTTTGGTCGAAGAAATGGAGGTACCGGGCGCAGGCTCCACGTAGGGAGCCTCGACGCAGTACGACTTGCCGATCTCTACCGAGCAAGAGGTAGCGGAGATGGAAGGATTCTAGAAAACATGGAAGCGAAAAGTCAGCAAAGGTTTCGGAACAAGTAAGTGGTGAAAGTACTTACCCATTGTGTTAACTTGGCCAAGGAGATAAAGTTCTCGCTGATGATATCGTCGCAGGTGGTAGCCGACCTGATATCAGCCCACCAGGTACAGGAACTCGTCGTGTTGGGGTCGTAGGGCAACGATGGCAACGAACCATCGCGTGCTTCCAACACAGGTCCACGTCTGCCAGGAATAGTGCCAGCCGTGACAAGGCCAACGGCCAGAACCAGAGCGTACGCAGAAGAGAGCATGGTAATTGAGTAGGTAGATATGAAGTGAAGGTAGGTGATGACCAGGCTGGGTGTCTGAGATACAGCAGGATTTCAGCTAATTATATACCTCTACTCGTAAGTCCTCTTCCATGGCAGAGTCTCATTGTCCCGAGCACTGAGCCTTGTCGAACATGAAGCCATTGATCCATGCGCATTGCGTCCGTCCGTCTTCAACCTTGGTCCTTGGGCAAGACCACAGTCCGCCGCCGAGGTAGGTGCTGGACATCGCCGGCTTCCACATGCAGTCAACGGTGTGATGCCCAGGCCCGACGGGGAATTTCCATCATGTGGTAGAAGCCCTAGAGTTGCATGCTAATACAAGGCCTTACAGGGCCAGAGTCGTAGTGTTACGTAGGCCGAGGATTTAGGGCTGTCTCGTTACTGCGGCCTATTCTAAAGAGGCTAGAGGTTAATAGTCAACCGACAAACTAACGTATTGAGGTGGTGGAGATACGTACCTCGTCAATCCCAAAGTCGTATCATGTCCAGGCCGGAAATTGATCCTCGATTGCTCTTCCCCCGAGAAAAGCTCTTTCACAGCTAACCAGAAGCAGGTACCTCCCGTCTACTTGGCCGCAAACAGAGGCATGATTACACCTGGCAGTTACATGGCGCATGGCTATCATGGCTTGGCAGGGGCACAGCATCTTGCACCTTTCCGCTCAGGGCCGACACTCGCCCATCGGCCCATCGACCTGTTTTCTCGGCTTACCCAGTTAAGGCCCCCCGAAATAATGTTCTCACCCACTTGCCTGCCTTCCCTTCCGTCCCGCACCTGCCTGGACCTTCGGGCCCGGTTTCCGGCACCTTCACCCAGGTCCCGGGGCAGGTTCGGCCCACTTTTCCACATGGATTGATTTGCAGCACCACCACCACCTTCCTTCCACTTCAATAGTTCCAGTCCGTTGTTGCCTTCCATACCATGGGACGGAGGAATCCTTTGAAATCCTTTGAAATCCTTTGAAAATCCTTTCCACACCAATCCATCGCCTTTTCTCATCTCGCTACAGTACCGCCTCTCCACAGCACCACCCACCACCTAGGCTAACAGGCTTCGACGAACAAGAGCAAGGTGACCACTCATCATGACCTCACCAGGATATCTCCAACTTCCACTTTGTGTTTCTAGCCCGTCCGACGTTGTATTATGCCATCACCAACATCAAGATGCGACAGTCACTTGACAGCCTTCAACTTGCCACTTGAGAAGATCCATCCCCAACAGTCCCATAGTAGACTCTAGAAAAGTACGCTGCAGCCTAGAGATCCTCAGCTTACATCAAAAGATCAACCGTCATGATACGATGCCACAGTTCTATACAACGGCACCCAGGGTTACTCCGTGTATTTAGATTCTCCGAGAGGAAATGTGGAAATGTGAGTAAAAGAAGATCGTCTAACTGTCTCTAGGTACCCTTGATGTCATATACCTACCAATTATCTTAGCTAGGTAAGATCACCAAATCCTCCACATCACACCGTGTCAATGTAAACTGACGGTGGCCGGCTTTTGGTTGGGTACCTGGTATCTACCTAGGTACGTACCCTCGAGGATGGAAAAGCTCATCCTCGGTTTGGCTTTTATATTGCTTCACCCACGCACGACCAACAAGCCACATCAAGACTGTCTGTTATCGTGCTATTCGGCATCTCATTCTTTACGTCCACACCTCCTACTCCCAAAATCATTCTGTCTTGCATCGTCATCCACATAATCCTGGATGGTGCAAGACACTCTTTTTTCTAAGAGAACCTGCTACACGCACTTCTCTCGCCGTCCATCATGAAGACGCACCTCTACGCCCTCTTAGCCTCGGGGGCAGTGGGGGCAGCGAGAGCAGCCGGCGGCTTCGTGGCCACAGGTCAGTCCTCTGAGTCTGGTGTATCCTCGAGTTCTTTCGTCAACGGCATCACCGAAACAGACGACGATCTCGACAAATGGCTCTCCTCCGTCCAGGCCCAGCCTCTTGACGCCCTCAAGGCATGCCCCATTTTGTGCAGAGAAGCCGGGGACGACCCCTGGTTCCTGTTCCCGGACGCGGACCAGTTGGCCTCGTGCAAGGAGACCATGTTGCTCAATGTGGTTGTCCAGATGGCCGAGGTCAAGGACATGCCCACCATCATCAGGGCCTGCACAGCAGATTACGACACTTCCAGGTCCATGAGGGTGGCTTTCGTGCCCGATGAGACCAAGGCATCGCTCTGTACCACCGCCAACAAGGTGCTGGAGGATACCTTCATCTCCATTCACCGCCCCGCCAAAAACGGCGAGTTCTCGCCGGGCCATCTGCTGTCGGCTGGTCGTCAGGTCAAGAGCTATCTTGCCTCCCAGAAGCCGTCGTGCTCCAACAACGCCATGGCCTTTGGCTACTCACAGACGTCGGTCATCGGTATTTTTGCCGGCGCTGAAGTGCACCAGCACGGTGTGACAGCAGATGTCCTTCAGCAATTCCTCGACCATGTTGAGAGCGAGTCGGTCTCTGGAACCACCGTGGTGCAGTTGTGCGGTGCCAAAGATCGTGGTGCCGACTACAGCATTGGCATCGTCGCCAGCAGTGTCAAGAATCTCGATTTCGTCCAGGACGTGGTCAAGAAATGGGCTGATGGCAAATGTGTCTCCGAGTCCCAGGTGGGCGCCGGCGAGGACTGGATGCCCGTCACGCTGCGCGTTCCTGTTCCCTTGGAGGAGTTGTCCAATCATATGAACGGCACCATCTCCAACAGCACCACCAACTATCGTCGTTCTGCGCCTGGTGATATCTCGGCCAGGTTCGCCCGGCTCAGCCCCCGAGCTGATTGCACCGTCACTACCGTCCAGGCCGGCGAGGGTTGCGTGGCTGTGGCCCAGAGATGTGGCATCTCGCAGACTAAACTGCAGAACTACAACCGCGCCAACCTCTGCAACTCACTTGTTCTGAACGAGCGCGTCTGCTGCAGCACGGGCACTCTCCCCAGTACCCTTCCTGCCGGGAACTCTGATGGCACGTGTAAGACGCGCCAGGTTGTTTTGGGCGACGACTGTGCCTCATTGGCCAACAAATGCGTAAGTTCAAACATGGGTACCTCCCTAGGTCCGCACATCGTGCACAAAATTAAGACCAGACTGACAATATATCCATGCACAGGGAATTACCGGCGATGACTTCACCAAGGCGAATCCTCAGTCCGGGCTTTGCTCCAAACTGTCCGAAGGTCAGCATGTGTGCTGCAGTCAGGGTGACCTTCCCAACCTGAGGCCCAAGAAGGGTGCCGATGGCTATTGTGCCGTCTATCGAACCAAGAAGGATGACAACTGTGCCAAGATTGCTGCCAGCAACATGCTTAGCTTGACCCAAGTGGAGAACTTCAACAAGAACACATGGGGTTGGAATGGCTGCAAGTTGCTTTATCCCGATTTCAACATGTGCGTCAGCGACGGAGCTGCGCCGATGCCTGCTATTGTTCCTGTAAGTCAACCCCATGAAAATCAAAATTGCTTCTTCTATTTCCTGTACTGACCTACGGTACATGTAGAACGCGGTCTGTGGTCCAACCATGAACGGCACCGTCCAGCCCCCCGCGGGGACCAACATCAGCATGTTGAACCCGTGCCCTCTCAACGTGTGCTGTAATATTTGGGGGCAATGCGGTATGACGGATGATTTCTGTGTCCCTTCCCAGTCCGAGACTGGTGCTCCCGGTACTGCAGCTCCCGGCAAGTACGGATGCATCAGCAACTGCGGCAGAGATATCATTAAGGGCTCCGCGCCGGCAGAGCATTTCAAACTTGGCTACTTTGAGGGCTGGAACTTTGGCCGCAAGTGCTTGCATATGGATGCTAGCCAAATCGACACAAGCGCCTATACCCACATTCACTTTGCTTTCCCCAACGTTACGGCAGGCGATTTCCGCATCGAGATTACCGACCCGTTAGTTAAGAAGCAGTTTGAACGTTTCAAGAAGCTTCAGGGTGTCAAGAAGGTTCTATCTCTAGGCGGCTGGGACTTCAGTGCGCTGCCCGGGACCTTTATGATCCTCCGAGAGGCTGCCCAGCCAGCCAACCGCGACCTATTCAAGCGCAACATCATCTCCTTCCTTAACGAGCACAACCTTGATGGCATCGATCTTGACTGGGAATACCCAGGTGCCCCTGACATCCCGGACATTCCCGCTGACGATCCGGTAAGCGGTCTCAACTACTATAGACTCTTGGCCAGCATTAAGGCCGAGCTCGGCAGTTCCAAGACAGTTTCGTTCGCCGCGCCGGCGTCGTTCTGGTACCTCCGCGCCTTTCCAATCAAGCAAATGGCCCAGGCTCTCGACTATATCGTCTACATGAGTTACGATCTCCACGGTCAATGGGACGCCGGCAACAAGTGGACTTCCCCTGGCTGCCCGACGGGCAATTGCTTGCGGTCCCATGTTAATGAGACTGAGACTAGGGACGCGCTCTCCATGATTACCAAGGCGGGTGCCCCTTCCAACAAGGTGCTCGTCGGTGTCTCTAGTTACGGACGGTCCTTCAAGATGGCCCAGGCTGGGTGTGATGGCGAGGACTGCTTCTTCACGGGTGATAACGGCAACTCCAATGCTGCCAAAGGTCGGTGTACGGACACCTCTGGATACATTTCAAACGCCGAGATCAACCAGATCATCGCTCAAGGCAGGGTCAACAAGCGCTACACCAAAGAAGGTTCCAACATCATGGTGTATGATAACACAGAGTGGGTGGCCTGGATGGACGACGCGATGAAGGCCACGAGAACCGAGTTTTACCACTCGTACAATTTCCTGGGCACCACTGATTGGGCAATCGATCTGCAAGATTGGTATGGCGACGCCAGTCTAGACGAGGACGATGTCGAAGTCGTTTATCTGGGGACCGAGGTGTACAGCGAAAGGACCGCCACCTGTACGCCGCCTTGCCGTTTTGTCCTGCCACCCAGCTCACTCCCGGCACCAACGGTAATCTCGATTCCACCCTTCACAACATCCCTTGAGGTGGGCCGCAGCCAGGATGCATCATTTGTTATCGAAACGACGACCATCACCGTCTATGCGCCCAACATTACGACAGATCACATGCCCATGTCCAATGTCAATATCTCGGTCGCCAATCCAACAGATGGCGGCGGCAGTACCGGTGGCATTCCCCCTTTCTACGCCATCCCAAGCATTGACATTCCCCCTATTCCCGTCGTCGTCACGCCTCCAGGTGGTGCACCGCCAACTTCGCGATGGATTACTCTTCCGCCCTGGCCGGGTGACAGATGGCCCGGCGCTGCCTGACGACGACGACCCATCTGGAGTCGACATTCCAGACGACAGCGACCTACCATCTGATGAACAAAACCCAATTATTGATCGACCTCCTCCTGGAACTGGACCTGCAATGGTTTGGGACTGTCCACCGGGTGGCGTGTTGGAGATTGATGAGTTCCACGCCATCTTGACGCTTGACAATTGCCAGGGTCAAGTAACTTTGGGCGGTTGCGCACCTACGAGAACAACGGCAATGGATGCACCTCCTGAGAGCACACTTCTCATTGGCTGCACCTTGTTCACGGGAACCCAGGCTCCTGATATCAAGCCATTTCCTACAGGCTCAGATAATATCATTCAGCCCATCTCCACGCCAGTACCAGATCCCCCAAGAGAAGACGATCCCGAAGATTCCGACTCCGAGGACGATGACGAGCCCGCGGGTGTCTATCTGTCATGCAAGGCTTGGTTCTTCTCCATTTGCATCGACTGGCCAGAACTCAAGGTCTTCGGTTGGGTTTTCCCTCCTCTGCCCCCGGGGCCCTATAGGAGTGGCCCCCCAAATATCGACTGGCCAAAGCTTCCCGGTATCACGGTCAAGGGAACTCTACCAAAATGGCCGGCCATCACGATACCGGCCAAAGGCCCGATTCCCACACCCGACAAGCCGAGCAACTGCAAGACCCAGACCGCCGAGCTTTGCAAGATGACAACTTCGTACGCCGGCGTTGTGGAAGGTGGCACAACCAGAACCACCTCGTCTACAATCAAGGAGACATGTGCTACCGTCTACGGATGCGAGGTGGAGGATGATACTTCGTCGACCGAGACCTTTGAAGGTTGCACTGCCACCCCGATTGAAAAGCGCGAGGAGGTTGTCGCAACGCCAACTCCACAAGTTCAGGGAGAAGCTGTTGGTACCTCTACCCTCGAGGAGAGATCTCGACCGTTCCTGCAAGCCAGAGCCAAGAAGAAGAGCCCGTGCCAAATCGGAGATGTCGTGATCATACCTGACGACCCTGAAAATGTCCAGGCCATCCGCACCTGGCTTGGAGACGTTAACAATAACCCAAACAAGCAGCCATGGTCATACACAGAGACCAAGTCCGATAGGGCAACGTTTACTGCCTTTTTCTACGTCGTCCAGCTTGACCGCGCAAGCTTGGACACACTCAGTGCCGCCAAAGGGACCTACGGTGTAAGTCAGGCGAAACTCGAGCGCAAGAACGGGAGCTAACAAGTTTGTGATTACAGATTGACGACGTATACTATCTCTCCGAGATGAATGCAGATGCCAAGGCCAAGACGGCATTGGCAGACGCTCAAAAGCCAAGGCCTCTTACCGATATCTGGCAGGGAAAGTTCCCTGCTGCTCGACACATCTCCAGAGATCAGTCACCCAGGAGGAGCCTTGGTAACTCTTCAACTGAGACGCCAGATGTTGTTCATCGCGATCTCAATGAGACCATGTCTGGAGAAGTCCTTCGTAAGAGAAACGACTATGAGGAACACGTATCGGACTATTGGGAGCTTTCTCAGCTTTCGGCGCCTCCCGCTTACGCAAAATTTCAGTCATGGAAGAAGTCTGTACCCCAGCCAGAGAGCAGGACCCCAAAAAACCCGACAGATATTTCAACACGTATTGGTATCCAAAGGGCACTGGTCCAACTCAGTACGTATACAATATTGAGTCGGACCTAGACCTTGGCCATTCAGTAAGTCTACCCCATTGTTCAGTGCACCTTGCTCGGTGTTATTGAACAGCACAGATCTAACTTTTTGTGCAGGAGTTCCAAGGGTTAGGCGGACGTTTGATCAGGCTGGATTACACGTCACCGTACGGTGGCGACATGAAAACACCCAAGCCTGTCTCAGAGTCCGATTTGAAGCACGGAACCGCTGTCTCATCCAAGATTCTCGGAAGCCTCCTCGGATCTGGCAGAGAGGTCACCATGGTCTTGCCAGTCAACCCGGGAAATGGATTTGCCTACACAAGCAGCTCAGGCAAAGCAAGAAGCATCTATTCCCCCGAAGCAGCCGTGCTTGAGACATTTATACGAGTCATGGATGACATTCTTGATTCCGGGAACAACAAGCAAGGCCGAGCCATCATCAACTATTCTGGCGGCTTGTTAACGGATGGTGCTAGCGAGGCCAGGGTCAGGATGCTATGTGAGTCACAACTCGAGTTTGCCAGGGGATGCGGCAGAATAGCGACCATACCTAGGTATGCTGACAGTGTGCATCGCAACCACAGGGAAAATTATCAAGAAGCTCAGCCAGTATAACGTGCTTGTTGTCGCCGCCGTCCACAATTCCTACAAGGAGAGAGGTGATAACATTGATGCTTACCCAGCCGGTTGGGGTGATGTCTCTCGCGCCGACTACCTCAGCAACGTCCTTTCGGTGGGTGCAGTGCAGCAAAGTCAGCGCGTAGCAACCTTTACCCCTTACCAACAGTAAGCTTTTTACATAGGATCTTCCTTTTCAACATATTGCAGGCCATGATTGCTGACACAAAGTCTGCCGGTAGATGGGTTACTTATGCTCCAGGTCAAAAGACTTATATCGCTGTTCCCGGAGAGGGTATCGTGGTGGACGACGGAAGCTCAATGTGTAAGTTTCTATCCTACGACAATTTTTTTCAGTCTGCCCTGTGGACGATAGCTAATTTGTTTTGGACCCTCCAACCAACAGCGGCGCCCCTGGTTGCAGGCATGGCTGCCAGTCTCCGCTCTTTGCCGTCAAAGTGGCAGGAGGACCTCAAGGATCCAAAGCGCCTCAAAGCCCTCGTCAAGATACTTTCCCGGCCTCTCCCCATGGGCAAACTCGACAAGAACCCTGCAAAGCCAAAGATCCCGGCGGGAAAGATTGATACCTTGGTCAGCACAGCCTGGAACGGTCAAGTGTTTAGCCTTGGCCACTGCCTCCTTGACACCACCGAGGCCAAGGGTCAAGGTCAAGGCAATGCGCAGCTGGACAAGATTTGCCCTACGATCGAGGATATCAAGAAAGCAGACGCAGATAAGCTGTTTAGCCCCATCGGCGGTGGCACCAGTGGTGAGGGTGGCAGTGGCGGTGGTGGTAGTGGTGGTGGTGGGTCAAGCGGTGTTCCTATCGAACACAAGCCCGGACCTGCCGGGCCCCTATGCAACAGGCCCCAGGGACTTGGGAAACGAGGCGGGCAGTGCGGGACGGTATGCACCGGTTACTACTGCTCGCCGACGCCGGTCGGCCCACCCCCCGACTATTACGACCCAGAGGACCCAGCGCACAAGGTCACTGCCGGGCCTTCACTGCCGTCGTTGACACCAGAGCCAGACCTCGGTGACTGCCCCAAGACGACGACACAGTCCTGCAATGCAGGCGTGGGTGGTGGTCATGCACCAGTTTGCGTGGACGTGACCATCTGTGCCACGCCGACACCGACGCCAGACCCTATTCCCACGCCAGAGCCTTTTGAGCCACCAGTAGTAGTAGAGCCGCCGAAGCCAGCTACATGTCGCCTCCACGTCGCGCAGTTCCACTGGTTTGCGACCACCTCTGCCGCCAAAAACCCAATGTTTATGGAAGTCACTTCTTATATCAACGACGTAAAACAGAGTTACGATTCGGCAAACACGGACTTTGGCTACGTCATGACATGGTACAGGGGAAGCTCCAAGTTCCCGACCGATGTCAGCATTGATATTCGCAGAGCAAAGGGACCTGTGGACCTGAAGAAGAGGGGAGACATACCGCCACCGGGCGAGACAATCGCAAAAAAGAAGCTGCTCATGTCGTATGATCTTTACTTTACGGCCGGCGACCAGCACTGGTCGAGCGGGAACAAGGACGAAAGCAGAAAGCCGTTTTGTCGGGTGGGAGCGTGGGATGCGGATTCGTGGAATGGTATTAATCAGCTTCAACCGGTAGGTTTTCATTTGATGAATCCATAATCCCCCAGCCCTTTGAAGATTGACTAACAAGATTCTTTCACAAACCAACAGAGCCGACAGATGGACTGCTACTGGACGTGTTAGTAGGAGGTTCTACTGAAAATATCTAGTCTGCGTGCAATCAAGGATGGCTCCGGATGGAGATGTACAAAGTAGATAGATTCCTGTAGATATTCCAATCTCATTACTCATACCCTCAGTCCGTTACCAATCGCCATAGTAATCATCCCACTCCTCCTGTCCCTCAAACCACCTACCCAGGTGGAAGCCACGGTATGTACGAAAGGCACATACATGAGTGTTAGGGTTGATGTGTGCTCCCTCCTTCATTTCTATCGTTCATTGACAGCCCCCGTATCTCGTGCGGCCCACCTAGCCTCCCACTCCAGTGCTGTCTCCCTCTTGCCCGTCTCCGCATCGATCAACCAGACATTCTCCAAGCTACAGCTGGGAGGGAATCCCCACTCCCACCCTCCTTCCCAGGAGTCTATACCACCGTCTCCCAAACAGACTATGTGAATTTCTCGGAGGTTGAGAAAGTTTTGCAAATTCCTGTATTCGCAATAGTCAAAAGACCTTTCATCGTCCCGGCGGCGCGTAAATTTGAGTCGTTTGATGGCCTGATAGTAGGGTGCAAAGTGCGAAAATAGACTCTTGCCGATGGAGATTGTGTCTATTTCGAAGTTTATCCAGATACCATATTTGGAGTGGGGGGNGAACCGGTAAGTTTTCATTTGTCCATGATCCCCCAGCCCTTTGAAGATTGA